AGGTGCCAGCGAGAGGCCTCGGTTCTTTCCACGTGGGGCTGTCTGTCGGGATACTGAGTGGCTTTGGGGTGCTCTCTGCCATACGGCAATTGTCTGGGAGGACACTCTAGAGCTAGGCTCAGATCAAACTAGCCACCACCTTCTCTGGAAAGGGCAGAGTCCGGCAGGAGGGGGACTTGATCCAGGATGAACAAATCCGTCAGAGCATCCGTGCAGTGGAAGGCCTACACACGAACAAGCCAGAGCCGGCGGCCATTCTAGGACCACCCCCTCTGAGGCACCAGGAGTCCCAAGACCATGGCCCTCTGGTTTTTCCCTCCTGCTGGAGCAAGGGTTCTAGTCCTCCCCGCTGCCCGGAGGCCCTCACTAACCTCCCACACAGCTTCCGTGCTCAGCTGCTCCCAAACGCGAGTGTGTGGAAAGTTCGAGGGTGAGTGGCAGGAAGCGGTAGAGCCCGGGCACGCTGGAGAGTGCCCAAAGGCGGCCCTTAATTGTGTGAACCCATCCCGGCTGGACAGATCAGGGCTGCCAGAGCGGGAGGTGTGGAGCACACAGACACCCGGGCACAACCCACAGCTGTTTATGTGCGCGTACACACATGCACATGCACATTCATATTACACACATATCAGTGTCACGTACAACTGCATTGCACACATGCATGTACCTGTACACACAAATGCCGGTATCACACACATGTCTGTATCATACCTGCATCATACATCACACACATGCCTGTATTGTGCACATACCTATACCACACACACCTGTATTACACATGCCTATATTACACACACCTGTACTACACACATGCCAGTATCACTCACACTTGTATTACACACACCTGTACTACACACATGCCAGTATCACTCACACTTGTATTACACACACCTGTACTACACACATGCCAGTATCACTCACACTTGTATTACACACACCTGTACTACACACATGCCAGTATCACTCACACTTGTATTACACACACCTGTACTACACACATGCCAGTATCACTCACACTTGTATTACACACACCTGTACTACACACATGCCAGTATCACTCACACTTGTATTACACACACCTGTACTACACACATGCCAGTATCACTCACACTTGTATTACACACACCTGTACTACACACATGCCAGTATCACTCACACTTGTATTACACACACCTGTACTACACACATGCCAGTATCACTCACACTTGTATTACACACACCTGTACTACACACATGCCAGTATCACTCACACTTGTATTACACACACCTGTACTACACACATGCCAGTATCACTCACACTTGTATTACACACACCTGTACTACACACATGCCAGTATCACTCACACTTGTATTACACACACCTGTACTACACACATGCCAGTATCACTCACACTTGTATTACACACACCTGTACTACACACATGCCAGTATCACTCACACTTGTATTACACACACCTGTACTACACACATGCCAGTATCACTCACACTTGTATTACACACACCTGTACTACACACATGCCAGTATCACTCACACTTGTATTACACACACCTGTACTACACACATGCCAGTATCACTCACACTTGTATTACACACACCTGTACTACACACATGCCAGTATCACTCACACTTGTATTACACACACCTGTACTACACACATGCCAGTATCACTCACACTTGTATTACACACACCTGTACTACACACACACCTGTATTACACATGCCTATATTACACACACCTGTACTACACACATGCCAGTATCACTCACACTTGTATTACACACACCTGTACTACACACACCTCTATTACACATGCCTGTATTACACACACCTGTACTACACACGCGCCTCTATTACACATGCCTGTATTACACGCACCCGTACTACACACACACGTGCCTCTATTACACATGTCTGTATTACACACACCTGTACTACACACGCACCTGTATTACACATGCCTATATTACACACACCTGTACTACACACGCACCTGTATTACACACACCTGTACTACACACACACCTGTATTACACACATACCAGTATCGCTCACACTTGTATTACACACCCATGCATGCCTGCACCACACACACCCACATGTACACACCAGTATTACACACATATTGGTATCACACACCTGTATTACATGGGTGCACATACGTGTACACACCTGTATTACACATTCTCACATCCGTGTTACACACACCTGTATTACACACATGCCAATATCACTCACACTTGTATTAAGTGCCTGTGCATGCCTGTATCACACATGTGCACATGTACACACCAGTATTACACACATACCTGTACACACCTGTATTACACATTCTCACATCTGTGTTACACACACCTGTATTACACACATAGCAATATCATTCACACATGTATTACACACCCATGCATGCCTGTATCACACACACCCACATGTACACACCAGTATTACACACATACCGGTATCACACACACCTGTATTACATGGGTGCATACACCTGTACACACCTCTATTACATATTCACATGCCTGTATTACACACATGCCAATATCACTCACACTTGTGTTACATGCCTGTGCATGCCTGTATCACACATGCACACATGTATACACAAGTACTACACACAAACCTGTATCACACACTTGTATTACACGGGTGCGCACACTTGTACATACCTGTATCACACAGTCGCATGCCTGTATTACACACACACCTGTATTACACACACGCCAATATCACTTACACTTGTTTTGCACACCCATGCATGCCTGTATCACACACATGCACATGTACACACCAGTATTACATACCTGTATCACACACACCCATATTACACGGGTCCACACACCTGTACATACCTTTATTACACATACCTATATTAGATGGGTGCACACACCTGTACATGTCTGTATCACACAGTCACATGCCTGTAGTACACACACCTGTATTACACACGTGCCAGTATCGCTCACACTTGTATTACACACCCATGCATGCCTGCATCACACACCCCCACATGTACACACCAGTATTACTCACATACCTGTATTACACCTGTATTATACACATGCACTCCGGTGTCACATGCATGCCTTCTTACACGCCTGCACACCTCTGTATTACACACGGATGCACAGCTGTGTGCACACACATCCCTGTATCACACCTGCACACCCGCATTGGTGCTCTGGCACTTCTTAGAGGGAACCCATGGCTCTCGGCCACGTGCAGCCCATTGTGAGCAGGTTCCCAGCGGCTCCACGGCCTGCAGCCCATCCTCCGTTCCCTACGGCCCCGCAACCCCCACCCCTGTGAACTCTCCCTGGGCATGGAGGCCTTGGGGGGACTGTGGCAGCCCCTGCCTCTGGCAGCCCCTGTGCCAGAGCAGGCACCTTCCAAGGTGGGCGGTGAGCTTGAAGCCAGGGCCAGGGCGGCCCAGCATCGGGGGGAGGAGGGAGAGCAGCCGTGTCTGCAGAGACAGGCTGTGAGGGGCCTGAGGGGCGCAATGCAGGTGCTGGAGAGAGGAAGCCATCGGGGCCTGCCACTGGAAATGCTGCACCCCACCATCCCACAGCTGTCTCGTGGAGCCCCCTCCAGCACACACCCTGGGCTGGGAGAAGGACACAGCACGCAGCTGACTTCCAGAGGCAGGGACTCTCACAGGAAGGGCTGTTCTGGCCCTCCCCCGCAGAGGGGAGGGTGCTCGCCTCTGCCACCAGGCGGCAGCAGGGAGTGCGGCTCCGGCTCCACCTGACGACCCAGGTCTCCTGAAGGAGAGGGCCAGGCTGAAGTGGTTTCTCTGTCCTTCCTCGTGGACCCTTCTTTGACCCCTGCTCGCCCGACAAGGGTGAGCACAGGGGCACGGAGCCATCCAGGGGCTGCTGGAGCAGGAGCAGGACACCTCTGTGCCCACATGCCATGGGCCTTTCGTCCTTGCAGGCCATGTGACGATGGTGGCTGCCCTGAGGATGGCCTGCGGCTGTTGGGGACAGAGCACACTGGGCGGGGGCTCGAGGTGACTTCTAGAGGGGCCCTATTCCCCCCAGGCAGCTCCCTGGTCCTGGCAACCTGTCCCCAAGCATCCCGCCCCACCTCATTCCTTCTCCCTTCCCTTCTGGACTGATCCAAGCTTGCCTTCCTCCTCCAGAAAGCCTTCCTGGCATGCTTCAGGGATGGGGGGCAGAGGAGGAGCCATGTGTGGGAAGACGGGCACGCACCTGAGCCCTTCTCAGTGGGTGGCTGTGCTCTCAGACCCACAACATCCACTGGGGACATGGAGAGCGACAAGAACAAGAGGCCCAGAGAGGAAGTCCGGCCCGTGAACACAGGCTGGTGGAGGAAACACCAAGGGGCACCACCTGGGGAGAGCGCCTTGCCCTGCCACAGAGGGGACCTCTCTCCCTCCCCTCCCAAGGCAGAGTGACTGACTGAAGGCAGGCAATCTGCACACGCTGGTCAGCGGAGGCAGGGAATCCCTGGCCTGAGCACAGGACACGGGTGTGGTTATCTCTCTGGCCCGAAAGCCACTGAACCTCAAGGGAGTCACTTAGCTGCCTTGGTCTTTGTTTTTTCATCCCCCCAGGTCAGGAGTTAGGGTTAGGAGCGGGATGGCAAGTCGAGCTGCCTGTAGCACTGTCAGGATTGTGAGGCGGGAAAGAATCTGGGATCAGTTAGTAATGTCTGCCCTGGGCAGAGGAGCAGCGGACATGCCTCCAGGAGCCTGTGGCAACGTGTCAGGAAGAAGACTGCAGAGCTAGGTTGGAGCTGGGGACATCTTGAGAGGCGGCTGCTGAGGAAACTCAAGGCCCACACGGGCTGTGAGGCTGTGCGTGCTATTCCTCCAGTTCTCGCCTGCGGACTCTCCGGAACGTGAAGCCTAACGAAGGACCTCTCCCGTGGACCTCCGAACCCGACGTGGCAGGTCCACCAGGCTGAGTCCGACCAGGGTATGTACCCGATCACAGCCAGCCCTGGGGGAGCCCGTGGGGCCCTGCAGACCACGTGGTACAGGCAGACGGTGGGCTCCGCAGAGACCACTTCCCTTTATAAATAAGACAGCGTTCCAAAGAGGGGTGCTTCACAGAGGGCATGTCCCGGGGTGCCACCCTACCCCCCAAAGAAGCTGGCCCAGCTGAGGGGAGGAGAGGGGCCTGGCCTCTGACTAGGGTGCCCAGGGGTCCCCAGAGGTTCTCAGCAGGGCTGTGCAGGGGACAGAGGCAGACGCTGCCCCCTGGGGGTGGAGAGTGGCCCTGACCTGGTCCCCGCTCAGCAGCCACCGAGCCTCAGGCCACAGCCTACAGATGGGTCTCCTTCTCGCCGGCTATCAGCCCCTCCTTTGTCAGGGAAGGCCCGCGTGGCTGACCGGCGCTGCGGTCAGGGTAGGGGTGCTGCCTGGGCTGGGGCAGGCTGGAGTCGGGGGTGATCAGCTGCTGCAGGCGCTGTGGAGAGAGGGGGCCAGGTGTTGTGGCAGGGCGGGCAGGCTTCACTGTGCACCCTGAGTGCTCAGCGCGACGTGAGCGGGCACACGAACACGCAGTTGGAGATGAGAGGAGAGGCACTGTGAGGTGACCGGGCGTGGGGCTGCTGGGGACTTTCTGCTACTCCTCAGGCAGCTCGCCGGCCCTCCGTTCATTCTACCCCCTCAGCTTCCTCGTCTGTGCAGTGGGGACTCTGTGGGACACCCCCCACAGAGCAGTGCCTGGCACAGGGTGACTGCCTGCTTTTGTTATTATTATCACTACCCTTTTCTTTTGTCCTGTTTTTTCTTTCTTTTTTTGAGAGATTTTCGCTATAGGGCGCGTGCGCTCGCCAGACAGACAGAGAGACAGAGAGACAGAAAGCGAGAAATCACCCCCCAGGGGGATGGCCACTCCGCAATCCCTTCTCCTCCATTCTCCTCTCGGGATTCTGGGCACGCACGCAAACGCTCCTGGCGTGAGTTTAAGCCACTGGGTCCAGGATGCGAACCGTAGTCGACTACGTGGGAGTCCAGCGACATAGCCATTATGCCATCTGCTGGTCCCAAACAGCCTTTTCTAAATTGCCTGAAAACACGCGTGCTCACCAGGGGTGGGAGGACTGGGGGGTTGAGAGAAGAAGAAAGCACCCCACAATCCCTTTCCCTCCCTTTCTCCATCCCATTAGGCTTTGGGACACACAGGCCCACACATGTGTGTTTTTCAAACCACCAGGACTGGGCTTTGAACCGTGGCAGGCCATGTCGGACCCAGCTCCTTTAACCGCTAGGCTAGGGGCCGGCCCTGTCAGGACTATCCGTACAGTGCCACTCTAAGTGCTCAGTGAGCCGCTCTGTCTTACTGCAGTTACCGCCGTCACGGCTGTCGCTGGCATCATCGCCCCGCCTTGCCCCTTCCTGCCTGGAACACACCGTCCATAGGCCTTCTCAGGCAGCGCAGCCGGGCCAGCGCCGAAGGGCCCCTTCTTGGACCTTCCTGAGGCCGGCGTGGCTTGTGCAGGCTGATTTGTGTGTGCAGCCAGATCGGCTCCCACAGACGTGATGTCTCTGTGGGGCATTGTCCACGGTCCCCACAGGAGGGCATGTCCCCAACTCTAAACTGGAAGCCTTCTGCGTGTCCCAGGCGGGCTAAGGGCGGGCAGAAGCTTGGAGTCTGCATGTGGAGCGAGTCAGGAGAGCTGGCTGTCAGTTTCAGTAGAGTAAGGATCCATGCTTGAGGGACCAGCAGTTAGCGTAATGGCTATGTTGCTGGACTCCCATGTAGTCGACCGTGGTTCGAGTCCTGGACCCCACCGGGCGCGTGTGCGCGCGTGCCCAAGATCCCAAGAATGGAGAAGGGATTGCAGTGTGGCCATCCTCCCGGAGGGGGATTTCTGACTTTCTGTCTTTCTGTCTCGCTCTGTCTTTCTGGTGAGCGCACGTGCCCTACAGCAAAAACCTCTCAGAAAAAAATAAATAAATAAAAGAATCCGCACTTGGGCCAAATGGTGACTGGAACCACGGTCCACTACATGGGAGTCCAACAAGATAACCATTACACCATCTACTGGACCCAACTTTGTTTTTTTAGAGAGAGAGAATTTTGCCATAGGGCGTGTGCCTAGAGATTAAAGTGGCTGGATCCCACCTGGCCAATTCTGGTTCACGTCCCAGACCCTGTGGCTTGAAAACCACACCGGGCACATGTGCATGCATGCCCAAAATCTCGAGAGGAGACTGGAGGAGAAGGGACTGGAGGATGACCTTCCCCGGATAGAGGCAGGTGGGTTCTCACTCCCTCCCTCTGTCTCTGGTGAGTGCACAACCCTATGGCAAAAACCTAAGGGAAAAAGTCTTCACTATAGGAGCCCTCTGGTCTGAGCGCCTCCTGTCCCTGTTTGTGACCTAGCTTACCCTTCGTCCTTCGGCAGTTTACCCCGGCTTAGCCTGCCCAGGTGATCCGCTAGCATGAGATGCCATGGGGCTAGGCCTCTAGACTTTCAAGGTTCTGAAAAGGAGGCCATTGGGCTGTCTCTAACGACCTTCCCCTTTAGTTCCCTGGGACCCAAGGGCCGCGCGCACTCGGAGCCCCTGCGGGCCCTGCCCCCAGCCCACCTCTCTCAAACCCTCCTCGAGTGGGTCACTGCCCCGGCCACCTACCTTCCTGAAGGAACCCTGAGTCTGCAGGAGCGTGACGATGACGAAGAGAGGGACGCAGGCCATGGAGGAGAGGGCCAGCAGCCAGCCGATGGAGTAGCCCCAGGGCGGGTACACGTAGACG